GATCAGTGTCCTCATTATGGCTACCCAACGCAATCTTAAAGAACTTTCCGGTTGTCTGATTCAGTGCTTTTCTATTTGAGCTGCGAGCAATACCTATTCGCTGCAGGATGCTGGGGCATACCAGGAGGGCTAAATTTGGCGCAGTCCGTTTACCACCAATTGCATCTCTTGCTACCTTTCACAACTGGTGGTGAACGGGTTGGCGCCGAGCCAAATCCTGTACTATCCTCCCCCCGACCGCCTCAGCATCCGCAGCGACTGAGAATGCATGTCACTCTCCTTTGCACGACACCCAACTTCAACACACCAACTCTTCTCCTATAGCCCTAGCTTTTCATTTTTACAAGAATTTTATTGCAGAACGCCGATCTGAACGACCAGCTGGCCGATCAAGAGGACAGAAATGCAGCACTTTCCAAGGCTAAGAAGAAGGTAGGGGGAGAGAATGCTTTACTTTACTTTTTATTCGATTATATTGGAAATTTTTTAATTTGGCGTCACTGGACGCTTGCTGAAAGGGAGTTTTGGAAGGGTGGCAATATATCTGAAGGAGACGCAGCGTCTCGGCTAAGTCCGCTCCGCTGCACCCTGGAAACGCACCCATACTTCAAGAATTAGGCGCGAAGCGTACAACTGCGCGCTCGATTTGCAAAGTGTGAACGCCCTCCGTTCTTAACTTGTCGTTTGGCGCGGACTCTCTTCGTCTGCGCTCTTGCAAGGGTGAGTCTCAGAAGAGGAAGGGATGATCACGACGCGCCGTCGCGTGGCCCTCCCCAACTACAGTGGAATTAATTCTAGTAAAATCTACATGAAATAATATGTAAGCAATATTCAGGTCGAACAAGATAATGACACTTTGAAAAAGACGGTAACCGATCTTGAGACCACTATCAAGAAGCAAGAAGGCGAGAAACAGGGCAAGGATCATCAGATCCGTAGCTTACAGGTAAGTCTTCAGCAGCAAGGGTGATGATAAAAAAGCTGATAATGTAAATTTCTTCAGGATGAAATTGCGTCTCAAGATGAAATCATCTCTAAAATAAACAAGGAGAAGAAATATCAAGAAGAAGTGAGTTACCCTACCTTATCCACTCTATTCCATTCCAGCGTAAGGGATTTGCGAAGGATGGGAAGTTAGTAGAGAATCGATCAATATCCCATTGATATGGGTAGGTCATGAAAGACCAAGCCTCCAGCAAATCCAAAAAAGGGTAACGCAGTTTCCGGTTCGGTTTGACCTGCTCGAATCGATTTCCGGTTTGACC